GTGGGAGCACGAGGCGGCGCCGATACAGTCATCAATGTAACGGAGGAAGAGGTGGGGTTTAGGGCCGGTGTAGGTACGGAAGAGGGATTGTTCCACGTAACTTACAAAGAGGCAGGCGTAGCTTGGGCCCATGCGGGTACCCATGGCTACCCCCTTTGTCTGTAGGAAGTGGGAGGAATTGAAAGAGAAGTTGTTGAGTGTGAGGACGAGTTCGGCTAAGCGGATGAGGGTATCAGTGGAGGGGGACTGGTCGGGCCTGCGGGACAGGAAGAAGCGGAGGGCCTTAAGGCCATCTGCATGGGGAATGCAGATGTAGAGGGACTGGACGTCCATGGTAAAGGTGAGGTGTTGGGGACCGGGGAATTGGAAGTTCTGGAGGAGGTGGAGGGCGTGGGTGGTGTCATGGACATAGGTAGGGAGTTCCTGGACCAAGGGGGAGAAAATGGAGTCTAGATAGTTGGAGATCAGTTCGGTGGGGCAGGAGCAGGCGGAGACAATGGGTCGACCAGGGCATTCAGGTTTGTGGATTTTGGGAAGGAGATAGAAGCGGGCAGTGCGAGGTTGGGGAAGGATGAGGTTGGAGGCTGTGGGTGGGAGGTCACCTGAGGTGATGAGGTTGTGGATGGTTTGGGAGATGATGGTTTGGTGCTCAGGGATGGGGTCATGATCAAGGGGGCGGTAGGAGGAGGTGTTGGAGAGTTGGCGTCTGGCCTCGGCGATGTAGAGGTCAGTGCGCCATACTACAACTGCGCCTCCCTCGTCCGCGGGTTTTGGAGTTCAAAATCTCCCCTCCCCCTACCGCATCCCAAAACCAGTCCAGCTCGTCCCTGCCTCCCTAACTTGTTCTTCCTCCCACCTATCCCCTCCTCCCACCTCAAGCCGCACCTCCATCTCCTACCGACCAACCTCATCCCGCCCCCTTGACCTGTCCGTCCTCCCTGGACTGACCTATCCCCTTCCTAACTCCCCACCTACACTCACCTTTACTGGCTCCATCCCCGCCTCTTCGACCTGTATGTTTCCTCTCCACCTATCCTCTCCTCTATCCCTCTTCTATCCGCCTCCCACTCTCTCCCTATTTATTTCGGAACCCCCTTCCCCTCCCCCTTTTCTGATGAAGGGTCTAGGCCCGAAACGTCAGCCTCTCTGCTCCTGTGATGCTGCTTGGCCTGCTGTGTTCATCCAGCCCTGCACCTTGTTGTCCCGCAAAACCATCTGTATGGTACATAAAAAATCAGTCACTTTCTTGCCTGAAGCCATGAATTCCAATGCAGATAGTCATTACCACAGTTTCACACTGGCAACATTTGGACCCACTCGGCCACCTCTAAGGTAATTGCTTGTGAAATTGAAACTTCCTATCAGTAATTACAGTGAGTCTGGATCCTCCCAAAGATGTCTGCTTTATAAAGTTGGAGATTTTGGAGGGTTCCAATTCACTTGAGCTTAATAGCTGCTGAAGAAAAGTTCGTTTTTTTTTTCTAAGAGGTAGGTTTTTAATGCTCTAATTCTCGGATGACGTAGCCTCCAACTCATCACTCACCCCCTGACAACTCCCTCACCTGACTGTTTTACCACCAACACACCTCCAACATTTCAACTGAGAGCACCCTCCCCTCTGCCAGCCCCTCCCCCTGCACAGAAGGTGGTGATTCAGCCCATCATGCCTGGGCTGTCCCTCTGAAAGGTATTTGCAGTTAGCATAATACTCTTGCTCTCTTTTTCTTATAGCCCCATAAAATCTTTCCCTTCAAGTGAAGATCCAGTTTTAGTCTGGAAATTGCATTTATAATTGTAATGCTTTCATAGTTTTCCTTTTTATTTTGGAAATGATAATCGAATTTATAATTATTTTGTTTTGGGAATTACGATTGAATCTCCTGCAACTACTCTTTCCTTTCGGGCAGCACATTCCAGATTGTAAGAACTGGCTGGAATTTTTTTTAAAATCCCCTTCTCTCCTCCCTCATTCATTTGACAATTATCTACAAGTTGTGTCCATTTACGAACTGACCCTCCTGCCAGTGGAATCCATTTGTCTTTCTCTATCAAATGTCCTTCTAATTTTGAACACATCTGTTTTAAATTTCTGATTAAACTTCTTTTTCTCTCAGGTTTGGGGGGCAACCTCAGGAGCTGCAATCTCAACATTAGTCCCTCGGTACCACTCCAGTAAATATCCTCTGCACCCTCTTGACATCCTTCCTAAAGTATGATGCTAAGGATTGAACACTGTGTTCTAGAATGCATTGTGGAGGATGTTGGTGAGGCCTCTTCTGGAGTACTGTGTACAGTTCTGGTTGCCCCATTATAGGAAGTTACTACTAAGCTAGAGAGAGTTCGGATGTTTACCAGGAATGGAGGGTTTGAGCTCTAAGGAGAGGCTGGATCCGTTGTGACTTATTTTTCACTGGCACATAGGGGATTGAGGGGTGACCTTTCTATAGGGGTTTAAAAAATCATGAAGGACATAGATAAGGTGAATGGCAGGTGTCTTTTTCCTAAGGTAGGGAATTTCAAGACTCGGGGGAGTATTTTTAAAATGAGAAGAGAAAGATTTTAAAAAAGACACTAGGGGCAACTTTTTTATGCACAGCGGTTTGTATGTGGAATGAACTTCCAGAGGAAGTGGTGGATGGTAGGTACAGTTACAAAGTTTTTAAAAGACATTTGGATAAGTACATGAATAAGAAAGGTTTGGAGGGATGTGGGACTAGTTATGATTGTGGTCAGCAAGGACTTGTTGGACCAAAGGGTCTGTTTCTATGCTGTATGACTCTGACTCTATGACACAATATTCTAGCTGAGGCCTATAAATGATATGAAGGTTTAGTTTCTCTCCTACCTATTTATGTTCTATTTAAACCTGGTGTCATTGTAGCCTGTCACTGTCAAAGATTTACCTCCTGTAAACATCTAGGTTTCTGATTTCTGAACCCCATTTAATATTCAGGAAATATTTTTACAGATCATTTGCCTCACAGCTGTTGGTATAAATTGACTGCCATGTTTGTGCAGAAAATGGTAATTCATGTACTATTAAGCACTTCTTGGAATGACCTAACTCTCTCTCTGTCACGGTTTTGAATAAATGCAAGCTCCTTCTTGCTCAAATAAAGGCAAAACACTGTAGATGTTGTAAATCTAAAGTGAAAGCAGAAAATGGTGGAGAAACTCTGCAGACTTAGCAGCATCTGTGCAGAGAGAAACGGGAGTTAACATTCACAGAATGAAATGAGTCAACGTAATCTTTGTTTCTTCACAGATGCTGCTACGTTTGCTGAGTTTCTTCAGCATTTTTTCCAAAAAAGCTCAATCTTTCTGTTCAGCATTCAAATTTGTCTTTGTGATTTTGTTTTTGTTTTGTTTTAGTATTTTGAAATAATATGCACAGACATTTTCAAAATTAAAATGGTAGCTTTTTGATTTTTAACATGAGCAAAAAAACAACTGTGTTTTCTCTAGACCTTGTTAGTACTCCGTGGGAGAAAGCAGAGAATGGTAACCAAATAAGAACAATGAAGTATGTAATAACCATCACAAATCCTCTGATTGGCAAGTTTTCAACAGCAACTGAGAAACAGGTATTTACAGAATCTATACTTGCCTTTCAGATTCTTTGTATCACGTATGTGTGCAGTCGTGTTGAATGTAACAGATGTAAGATGTACTTTTGCTTGGTAGTCTCTCATAACATTCATTTGGGCAGAACAGTGGCTCAGCGGTTAGCACTGCTGCCTCACAGCGCCAGGGACCTGGGTTCAATTCCAGCCTTGGGTGACATTCTCCCTGTAGCTGCGTGGGTTTCTTCTGGGTGCTCTGGTTTTCTCCCACAGCGCAAAGATGCACAGGTTAGGTGGATTGGCCATGCTAAATGCAGGGTTACAGGGACTGGATCCGGGTGGGATGCTCTTCAGAGGGTCGGTGCAGACTTGATAGACTAAATGGCCTCTTTCCACACTGTAGAGAGTTTTCTGATTTCATTTTTTTTGAAAATCAGTTTCCTTTTTTGTGTGCTTTTTTTTTGGAGACAGCATTCAATGTTCAGCAGAGAGAAAAAGGAATTTAATCAACTTACTGAATACACTCTCTCTTGAAAGTGTTTATTTCCTGTTGAACATGTTCCAGCAACTAAAGGATGTAGCACCAAATAATGAGGAAGATCCTTAACCTAACCTGCTGTGTTGGATTGTCTTCCTACTCAGTAGAAAGTAAATTTTTTTGTTCAGAGCATAAAACAAACCCATCAACTTCTCTCCATGTGGACTGATTTAGGTCGGCAGGATAAATTTAATATAGATTTAAAATGTTGGCTGTGCGTCGATGAGTAGCATTCTTCTCTCCATGTCAGAAAGCTATAGGTTTGAATTCCACTCCAGAGACCTGAACATTTTTAATGCAGGTTGACACTGCCGGTACAGTGCTGAGGGAGTGCAGCACTGTCAGAAAAGGACCTATCTTTCAGACAATATAACAAATCAAGGCTGTGTCTCTCCTCTCCGCTAGTGAAAGATACCATTTGAAGAAGAACAAGATCATTCCTCCTGTGTCCTGACCAATATTGATTCCCTGACCAATATCTAAAAACAGTTAATCTGGTCATTCTGCCATTGCTGTGTTTGTCAGAAGCATATGGGGATACCGAATGTCCCTAGAATAGCAACAGTGTCACTTACTGCAAATTTTTAAAAAATTTTTTTTTTGGATGCAAAACTCTTTTTGGGGGCACTGAAGTCATGAAACACTCACCCAATCTATGCAAGTTCTTGCTATTGTTTCAAAAATACTTTGAGCAATCCATCTAATTGTCCAATAAAAGAAACGTACTACAGATACCGGAAATCTGAGATAAAAAGAAAGCGCTAGAGAAACTCAGCAGGTCTGGCAACGCCTGTGGGGAGAGATACAGAGTTAAAAGTTCAAGTCCACTCCTTCAGAAATAAAAGGAGCTGGGAAGGTAGCAAGAACTGCAGATGCTGGAGTCCGAGTCAACATGGTGTGGAGCTGGAGGAACACAGGTCAGGCAGAAGTTTTGAAGAAGGGTCCTGACTCGAAATGTCAACTTTCCTGTTCCTCTGCCTGCTCTGCTGTGTTCCTCCAGCTCCACACTGTGCTGAAAGGAGCTGGGAACATGTGGTTTTCGTGCTGTTGACTGGAGGAGAAACAAGTAGAAAATATTGCAAGAGTGTTCTGAGCAAAAAAATAACGGTGATTTAATGGTGATAAAGAAATGATTAGAGATGTAAAATGGATATAAATGACGGATGTGAAAAGGAGAAAGTAGTGCTGCCCTGCTTAATTTGTTCATGCCCTCAGAAATTGGTCAAACGTGGTTTTTCCTTTGAAGAATTTGCTGTTAGGTGTTGTCTCTGACCTGCAGTTAGATGGACTTTGTCCACCTGATAGTCAAACAATAACTAACTGAGAAATTTCTGTATTGTTGTAGACATTGTGTAAAGAGAGCCAGAATGTGCAGTACTACCTGATTGATGCAGAAGTGACCACACATGATGTGCCTTACCATGACTATTTTTATACACACAACAGATACTGCATCATTCAGACATCAAAGCGGAAATGCCGGCTAAGGTAATGTAAGGTTTGTTTTTTGTAAAGTTCGTAGAGGGTACCGTCTTAAACCAAAGCCCATATAGTGTTTTAGAAACGCAACAATTTATTGCTTCCAAATCTCTATTTATATAATCAACTTGATTGCAAAAAAAAACCTCCCTTTTCCCCAGAACATGTGAATTTAGATTTTTATCTGAATTGTCTACATTGGGCTAGCATGGGACATCTGCTGAAGGATCAGCAGAAGCAATTGATTTAAATTAACCGAATTGAAGCACAGTAGAGTCAGTGATAGTAAGAACTGCCGATGCTGGAGTCTGAGATAACAAGGTGTAGAGCTGGAGGAACACAGTAGGTCAGAAGGCATCAGAGGAGCAGGAAAGTTGACGTTTAAGGGGTCCGACCCGAAACGTCAGCTTTCCTGTTCCTCTGATGCTGCCTGGCCTAAAGTAGAGGCAGTGTTGTTCCTTCACTAAGGGCCTTGAAGTGCAGTAAATTTTTCAGAGTTTTGGGGAGCAAGTGGAAGTGATAACTAGGCCCTGCCTATGTTTTTTGCTCAGTGAATTGTTTGGGATTCACCAGTTATGGCAGGTCCTCTTAATCAGTGATGAGGACAGAGGAAGAAATTCCCTGGCTTGTCCTGGCGGGTCACCATTGCCCTGTTGTGATTTGCATGTGGTGGATAGTTAGGAGTGGCCTGCCTAACTAGACCAGAAAAGCTGTGGTAGGCCACACCTCCTTGTCTTCCTGTCCTTCCCATTACTAATTACATTGCTTTATGGGGTGGTGTAAGGAGGAAACTTCCAGTCCTTTGTCTGGGAGAACCTGAGGCAATTATTACTGCTGCTTCCACTAAATAAATACAATATCAACTTCAAAAATTAGGATGTTTTCTGAAATTAGTGGTTATCTCTGAAGAAGAGCCTCTGTTTCCTACTCCTGTTGATTTGTTAGTGTCCTGCAGCTGTAAGCCAGACCAAATTCCTGCTGTTGCCTGAAATATTAATTCAGAATATCATTGTCTGGACATAGATCTGTATTTTGGATTTGTTAGAATGAACACTTGGTGCAGAAAAGATGATTGGCTGGCAGTAACAGGGGAAAATGTTTCTTTTGTGAGGAGTGCAGGCTGTTCAATTGAAGGCATGAATTGGACAATGGTTTCAGAGTGGTTATACCAACCATTTTGTGGATGCAGTAAGAGAGTGAGTTTGTTTGGAGTAACAACCTTTTTTTTGCCTGCTCCTTTTCTTTGTCCCCTGTGAAACCTGCTCACCAAAGTTTGTTATAAACCCAATGGAAACCAATTTGCCCCAAGTGGAGAGTTCCTAAAGGTGACTTTAAAATTTATAATATTGTCTCCAGAAAAGCGAGAATCAGCTAGTCGTGACTGATCCAGGAAAACACACCACTACCAAGAGCTTTGTGCAAAATGACTTCTGCTTCAGAATATTAGTTGGACAATATTTCTGACTGTAAGGGTAACCTCATCAAAGTTTTTTTTTTAAGAGTAATGTTCTTCAGAGTTATTGGGTAGAAACTTATTGGGGTCTGAGTAAAATGGGCTATGGCGAGATTTGTAGTGGAATTTGAAGTCTGATTCCTATTTCGATATTGGGAGCATCTTTTCTGCATTTGCCAAGTGATGAGAAGTTTCTCACCAGGGAGCAGTGAGTTACAAATTAAGGGGAATTATAGCTTGTTAAATGCCTCATTAATATTCAGCTTCCTATCTTAACCAAATGCACCAAATAAGCTAGACAGTGAGAATTCTCGCCCACAGTAGTCAGGGTGGATACTGGATGATTTCGGCTGATCCATGCTTCCAAAAACCTTCTCCAGGCACCAACATCTCTGGGTATGGTCCATGGGCACTGGCCGTTTGCACCTGGCATCTGCCATGTCCCAACCTTTAAGTACCCTCATGACACACCTCCAATCCATTTGCACTGCACTTCATTGTAATGCTGCAGCAAGAAAACAGTGTCTTCAAGGGCTTGCACCCAGCTCCTAAATTGGACCAGGTTGTATCACCAGGCTCATCATTTGCTGTCATAGTGCCCATTCACTCTGAGCCTAGCTATGTGCTCGGAGTGTCCATGCCTTGACGTTTTACACTTTTTTTTTCCCTCCTCAGCCAGATGTACTAGGCTCATATTACTGCTCTATAGATGTGCTGTTTAGTGCAGACACTAAGCCTGAAGCCTGCCATTGTTGTCAGCAGGCCTAAGTGAAGAGGAAGGAGAGAGCCTTTGCACAGGAAGTCCCAGCACAGTAAGTCGAGAACAGTCTTTCGATGTCAGGGGCTTGGATACAGTCACTGGGGTGGTCAGAATCAGAGTTATCCCCTCACAAGGAGTGAGGAGCTGAATGTCTGGTAGCCCACGACTCGTCTTGACGCTTTCTGTCCTATTTTCCTCCTGGAATGAGAGAGGCAGGTATTACTGGACATGAAAGTGGGTAACACATCTCTCTCCCTTTGGTACAGAAGGTCCTAAAGGAGTGACTCAGCGCAGAGGACATGCTGGGTTAGTGATGCCAAAGGTCAGGCTGTGTGAAAAATGTTGCAAGCAATAATGAGAGAGGTGGAGAACAGGTCTTGATGGGAAGTGGGAAAGGCAGCAGAGAGATGGTGGAACTTATGTTGGAGTGGAGAAGGTCACTGATCTTCTAAATTGCTGGGAGTTGCTTCAATTGACAGACTGGACAGAGCTAGTGGCAAACCCCAGAGCAGGTTGATATGTTTGATGTTGTGGCTTGGGAGAAGAGGAGACCCACCCCATCCAATAGGAACTCCAGGTCCCTTCCCAGCAAGCAAGGCTCCAGCTTCTCTTTATAGGCCATAGCCAGGGCAAATGTAAGGAGCCATGCAAGGTAGCTGCAGACTGGCAGTGGTCATCTGTGTACACAACAGGGCTTTTAAAGATGGGGAGGGCACGAGGAACACCTGTCTCTCAGCTGATATCTGGTCAGTGGGGAGTTGATCCGGGTGTATGGTAAAATGGGGATAGAATCAAACGTGAGAGGCGTCATTGGGGTGAGGTAGGTCATTAATGAGGCGTGTTTCGAAAGATATTGCAAGAAATCCCACTGGCTCTCGACATGAGAATCCCCTAACAAAAGCTCAAAGCAGCTTCCAGTGAGCTCAGGGGAAAAAAAAAAAGCATGATTCAGCCCATTGCATCTTCTCTGAGTGGGTGTTTTATTTTTCAAGACTCCTATTTGGATGGTTTTTGAACCTTTTTGGGTAATGATAGCTACATGTTGATTAACTTTTTTTATTTGCAAAATAAGCTCATCCCTCTTATTGAAGGAACCTGCTGATTATATTTGAGCTACATAAAGCCTGAATATTTGCAAGTAGGGCATTATACTAAAGATAAAGGTGATAAATGCATTACCTTGATCTCAGTGGGGATTTGATTTGCATGGAGCACCAGCTAGAGCATTGTACACTAGCGGCTACTTGCAACCAATGTGTAATTTGTATGTGACATTTGCAGTGCAGTTCACTCATGCGTTGGCTTGCAAGAACAATCCCATTAACATTCATTAAACGGCATCTATTATTTAATTTAATTTAACATATCAGTAACATCACATTCCTTTATGACAGCAAGCTAATAAGATGTTTCCTATAAATCAGACTCCACATTGCCTGACTTAATTTTTTGAAAAGTTTCCTAGAAATCAAACTGCAGGCACACTATTGTTAGGTGTTATATATAAGCAGCTTTGCAATGCCAGTCAATTATTTCAAGGACGAAACAGCTATTTCAATAGATAGCCAATAATTATTGACCAGAAGTGAGTGGTTCTGACAGTCTGTTGCCAGTATTCTTGTTAGATTAGTGAATTTTATGGAAACTCAGTGCCAGATTTCTCATGAAGGGAGAATCTTTTTATCTTAATTAATTCTTGACCTACTCGTTTCACTTGAGCATTATTTTGAGTAACCGTTCTTTAAATTTTTGTAAAATGAATGGAATCCATTTGTAACGGAAGTACAATAATTTTTAAAACATTATCTGTCCTTTTTTAAATTTTGTCATACACCCAAGCAAATTCCCAGCAACACCAGCAGAAAGGGACTGACCAGAAAGTTGAGAAAGATGATAATTCTGTTTAACCAGTGTCATTATTGGGTAAACTCCTAAATGTGTCCTTGGCCTTTGGTACATTTAGAATATGGCTTAAAACCTAGATCTTTTAGAAATGCCAATCTTCAAGTTTTTTTGAGCTACATCTTGTATTTCTGAAACTTTTATGTCAGCAGCTAGGATATTAAGACCTGTAGTCTTTACTGTGTCCAGTGTAATTTCTTCATTGTATAAAGTAGAGTGAATAACGTACCAGATTATGCAAATGTAAAGTATGAAAGTCTGTTGATGTTGTCAATGGCTTTAAAGGGGCTTCGTGGCTGGCTAGTTTTGAGATGATAGATCTTTTCTTAATCTACCTCACAATGATAGACAAATGCCATCCATGGTGCTATGTAGTACTATGTTATTGCTCCCTCTACATACTTTTGAACTAAACCCAGTATTCTGTTTTGCCCTGTGGCTTCCTTCACCTGCAAAATGCCAGAACTGGTCTTGATGAACTGAATATCTGAAACCCTTCCTCCTGCACATTCTCTCAAAGTTGCACATTAATGTGAGTCAGGCATAATCCTGAGATTACTACTCTGGATGTCATTCTTCTCAATCTGGATCCTATCACCTTCCCAAGACCAATGCTCCTCTTGCCTACATTTTCCAGCTTCTTCATGAACTATTACCTCTGGCTGCTGCCTGTCCTTTTCCAGTTTTTTTTTTAAATCCACTCCATCATGCCTTTTTGCCCTGGTATCAGGGAAGAAACTTTTTATTTCAGGACTCAATCATGGGTACAGAAAAGCTGCCTATGTGTCTATAACCCTAAACTTTATCCTGAAACATATACAATACAGTCTAAAACTCAAAGTGGAAAGTTATGTTGAGAAGTTATTGACCTGAAATGTTAACTCTGTTTCTTTCTCTGCATGAGCGTTGCCCCCTACCTGCTGATTACTTCCATCATTTTCTGAGTTTTTATTGCCAATTTCTAGCACCTACAGTAGTCTACATTTTCACAGGTTTCCATTATGTTTGGCATCAAGTGTTTAGTAAAAGTGAGATTATCGCTGGCAGGATTAGTGGACAAAATGCTTAAACTATTTGTGAAACTCTTCACTAAGCTGTCTCATAAACTGTCTTCAGCAATGGGATGATGCTGTGGCTTTGAGGTGTGTTTTGTCCTGGTTTCTTTTGGGGGGGGTGGACAGGTGGTGAGCAATCTGAGAAGATATGTAACTTGTGAAGCCTTGGGTGTTGTTTTTTTTAAAAGTTGGAACAATAGAAGCAGCCTGAGTGGGCCTACAAAACTAGGGATCTTTAGCATTCAGTCATTGTTGCTGAAGTCCTAGCAGGGCTTGAAAGCTGTAAATCACTCTCGTTCTCGCTCCAAATTGTCTTTTTGATGTTCTTCCCTCCTGGATTGGAGAACTGCATGTGAGACAGCCTGATTTCTGAATTTGCCTTTTTTGGCAAGGGTGTATTTATGGGATGGTACTATATTGGAACGGGTACTGTTTAGTTCTAAAATAATCTATTATTATGTTAAGCTTTATGATAGAGTTGTTATTTCAAGTTCCTCTTTCTTTTGTTGTATTTTAACTATAGTGTTTGAATAAATAATATGCTGAACGTCGAGTAGTTTGACCAATCAAATTGCATATGGAACACAGCACCTCGTGTTTGCCTTTTTAAAATAAGAAAACGTTAGAGTCTAAACTACCTTTAATGTATTTTGAGGGGGTCTGATCCATAACAGTAGGAAGTGTGCAAAGATATATTGTTTCCAATTACAGTTAGATGCCAATCAATTTGTCAAATGAATTACTTTTATAGACTTGACATTATTTGATGGCTTAATGTTCTATTTGTTTATCAATAATTTTCTTTCAAGTACTTCTTTCTTTATTGCAGAGTTTCGACAGATGTGTGCTACAGAAAACAACCATGGGGTTTGGTGAAGTCTTTCATACAGAAAAACTCCTGGAGTGGATTGGAAGATTACTTCAAGCACTTAGGTTACTGCTAAATTTAAGTGTTTGATATATTAGTAGATGTAAAGTACATCCGATGGCAAAGTGGGATCACTAGAACATACTTGAACTGGAAGGAAAAGTACATTTGAGTGTACTTGGCTTACATTAGTGCCTTTTAGTGGGTAGCTATTCAAATGAATGAGATGTTGAATAATGTAGATCGGAAGGTAGAAGTTCAGTTCTTAATTCATTCTGAATTAATTGATCTGAGTCAGGACAATAATTGGTCTTGGGATTACAGACTATTCTTGAAGAAATCAGTGCAGACTTCATTTCTGATTCCAGCATCACCAAATCTTGCATTTCTCTGTTCCTGATTGTATGGCATTAACTCCTGCTGGGGTGCACATTTGTTCAAAAATGACAACTTGCAATTAAAGTGCACTTTTATTGCACACGAAAAGCTAAAATCTACAATGTGAGTATCAATGAAAAATACTTTCCATGCTGACGCGTGGAAGATATCTAGTCAGATGTCCAAAAGTTTGGTCAAAGATGTAAACTTCAAGGATTGCCTTAAAGGAGGAGAGAGAAAGAGACCGGGAGCTTTAGAGAGAGAACTCCAGACCTGTGGATGCTGGCAGCTGAGAAGGTTTGAGTTATAAGGAGAGGCTGGATGGGTTGGGACATTTTTGTTCCCATGAAGCATAGGAGGTTGAAGGGTTACCTCAAAGGTTTGTAAAATTGTAAAGGAGCATAGATAAAGTAAATGGCAAGTGTCTTTTCCTTAGGGTGGGGGATTTCAAGACTAAGGGGCTTATTTTTAAAGTGAGACGAGAAAGATTTAAGGAAAATATGTTGGGGGGGCAACTTTTTTTAAACAGAGTGGTTCATATGTGGAATGAACTTCTAGAGGAAGTGGTGGATGTGGGTACAGTTAACAATGTTTAAAAGACATTTAGATAAGTACATGAATAAGAAATGTTTGAAAGGATATAGGTCAAGTGCAGGCATGTGGGACTAGTTTAGCTTGGGATTATGGTCAGAAAGGTAAATTGGGTCGTCAAAAATTTTGTCAGACTAGGATCAAGAAAGCAGCTTCGCTTTTTATTGTTTCTAGACTCCAATTGGAAAAGGTTGGCCGTTCGCATGTAAATTATTTGTGAGGAATAACTTATCTTCATAATTACTCTGCTTGGTACCCCTTTATATTTTACACACTCTTTAAACTTGCTGATTGTGGGATGAATGTGTTATCGAGGCAAACGTGTTAATTAGAGCCGGAGTGTTTCTCATCTAGTCTGCCAGCTGCCTGTGTAGAGACTGAAGGTAAGTGATGCACCTCTAAACCACCAGATATTCTACACCTACGCCATATTGCTGCAGATGGGTTTTTTTTTCGATTTTAAGGCGATGAAAAGTAATTTGGAGAAAGGTGACTTCAACTTTACAGAATGTCTTGTTGTCGCAGAATCTGACTTGTTGATCGAAGAAGCAACACACAATCCAATCTCCGCAGAATTGGGCCAGTCTGGGTTTCGGAGACGCCGGCGAGCTTTCAGCCGAAGCTATACAGATCAGTTTCCCAGCTTAGCTCCTCGTCTGGATGTGGATACGAGAGAAATGTACACGGGTAATATATTTTAGTTTGACTGTTAGGTTACATCAGGTTTGGATAAAGACAATTGACACTTCGGTGTAAATTTCAACACGTGTGAATCAGCTACAGGAGCAGCTTCAAAGCAGCGCTGGGGTTGACACTGAAATACTGGACTACAAGAAGGTTTTTGAAATTTTATTCACTTGTGGAATGGGAGCATCGCTGCCTGCCTGTCCCTGGTTGCCCCTGAAGGTGGTGGGGCGATGTCTGTGTGGCACACTGCAGCCCATGTGCTGTAGGTTGACCCACAATCCTGTTAGGGCGGGAGTTCCAGGATTTTGATCCAGTGATAGTGAGGGAACGGTGAGATATTTCCGAGACCGGATGGGGAGTGGTTTGGGATTGAACTTTTAGATGGTGGTGTTTGATATTATCTGAAGATAGCGCAGCAATCTTTGTGACAGGCTTTCATCATTTGCTGACTGTTCAAAAGCACCCAACCCCTGACCGGCTGTACATTTTCATAACTTGGTTTGGAGTTTCTTTTAATATTAATCTGTAACTGGAGGATTGTAGGGAGATATCTACAGTTAGCTCAAACTACCTGTCAAAATGCAGTGGTTGGTTGGCGCACTGAGCTGGTTCGTTAATTCACAGACGTTTCATTACCCTGCTGGGTAACATCAGTGCAGCTTCTGATGAAGTGTTGTTGTGTTTTCCCACCTGGTATTTAAACTCTGGGGTCCGTTGGATTTAATTACCTCCTTTCTCGGTTTTCCTTTGCAGTGGTGTGTGTATATAGGGTCTAGCTCTAAGTGTTTATTGATGGCCTTCTTGGTGGAGAACCAGGCCTGTAGGAATTCCTGTGCTTGTCTCTGTTTGGTCTGTCCCAGGATCCTGGTGTTGTCCCAATTGAACTGGTAGTTCTCCTGAGACGAGTGAGTACTGGTCATGTCTTTCCAGGCGGGAAAACACAACGGCGCTTCATTGGAGGCTGCACTGATGATGTTACCCAGCAGGGTAATGAAATAACGAACCAGCTCGACGAGCCAACCAACCACAATATCCACAACCCGAGCTACAAATCTACTCTAGTGCCTGTCAAAATATGTAGGGATCTCTGCACCATCCTCAACCCACATCTGCCAAGCTCAAACAGGAATCAACCCCGAGAGGGGAATAAATACAGGATGGACCTGCAAGAAGAGGAACTCTCAGGAATCCTGCCGGATCAGTTGGCTGGAGGCACTTATACACCTGATCCTACCACATGCATCCAGCACTAACGGTTAACTGACTTTTGTCTCTGGATTTGGATGGAATCGTGCTGAGGTGAGAAGGATGTGGGAAACATTCTATTGCATTCCACTTCCTGGAGAAACCTCTTAGGGAGTCTGGGATAACGGGAGGCAGGCAGAAAAGTGGATCTGAGGCAGCAATCGGTCATCCTCGATCTCACTGAACGGCGGAGCACGTTTTGAGGAGCTAAAAAGCCTAGCCCTATGCCCGTTGTTTTTATATTCAGTTCTTTTGCTTTTATGATATTGCCTGCAACTAGAGCATAGTTGTTCTAATTTTGTTATCTTTCTTGCAGACAGAGGAAATAATTTGGAAAGTAAACCAATACTCCAGAATCGGAGCCTTTCAAAGTTTGTGTTGGGCATGAGTGCAATGTGAGTGCATTTCAAAAGGATTTTCAGAAACATTTTTGCAAGAACACTAACAAGAGTAAAATAAAAAAGATTCTGGATCTAATTATAAGCTATTGTTAAGGCAACACCTCCAAACGTTTGTCCAAAAGTATACAATATGCATCAAATCTTAGACATTTGGGCCAAATTTAAAATAAGGTCTTGAGAGAGCATGTACCAGGTGCACCCTACATGTTTTTCGTGTATTTAGTCTAATTTTTAAGCTCTGCTGTGGTGGTTCAGTATAGTCCAATAGCGTGCTTGTTATGAACAATAGATATTGCACAAAAGTGGAATTGTCATGTACACAGCAAGCCTGAATCTAGGTTGCAAAGCTGAACATACTGTCTTTCTTGCACAACTTTTAGAATACTGCGTTCAATTCTGGTCTCTCTCCTGTAGGAAGGATGTTGTGAAACTTGAAAAGGTTCAGAAAAGATTTTATGTGGATGTTGCCAGGGTTGGAGGGTTTGAGCTATAGGGAGAGGCTGAATAGGCTGGGGCTATTTTCCCTGGAGTGTCGGAGGCTGAGGGGTGACCTTTATGGACGCTTATAAAATGAAGGGCATAGATAGGGTGAATAGCCAAGGTCTTTTCCCTGGGGTAGGGGAATCCAAAACTAGAGGGCATAGGTTTAAAGTGAGAGCGGAAGATTTAAAAGTGACCTGAGGGGTAACTTTTTCATGCAGAGCATGGTGTGTGTATGGAATGAGCTGCCAGAGAAAGTGGTGGAGATGGGTACAATTACAACATTTAGAAGGCATCTGGATGGGTATATGAATAGGAAGGGTTTAGAGGGATATGGGCCAAATGCTGGCAAATGGGACCAGATTAATTTAGGGTATCTAGTTGGCATGGACGAGTTGGACCAAAGGGTCTGTTTCTGTGCTGTACAGCTCTGACTCTGACTCTGACTCTAAGTAGCATGCATTGCATTTATAAACAAATTTTTTTTTTTTAAAAAAAAGTTGATCTAGTGATCTTTGCAAGCTTATTACAGGTAGCAAAACTATATACTCTTATAATTTTTAGTTTGGAAATTATACCTTGGTGCTTTAAATATTCTTCTGGTATTCCTGTAAAACTAGAAAAACAGATGTCCCAGAATTTACCCTTTGAACCTCTACAACTAATTAAATTGCTTATTTATTTCAGACTCTTTATCCTAGCTTTGTTGAATTTAGTCCTCTATTTTAAACTTCTGAACATAGAAAAAGTGGCTGAAAAAGTCCATTCGTCAAACAAGATCGGAACATCCGAAAAGCTGAGTGCTGGGTAAGTGATGCTTCACTCAAAAAAAACAAATGTATTGCAAGGACAAAGTACAAAAGAATTAAATTGTAGGTAATCTTAAAAGGTGTTCTATTCATGTATTAGGAAAATCACTTATTTATGTAGAGAGAGTCATCATGTATCATTCTGCTTCAATTCCTGAGAATAGCAACTTTTAAGTGAAATATAAGTTTCCATAGAAACCAATGTAAAAACTGAAGTTAGATTCTCTGAGATCTTGTTTTACAACAGGAAAAAAAAATTATAAATCCTGATAAGTTGAACTAATTTACCTTGTTAACCTGCTACATCACTAAATGAAATGACTTTTAAATATTTGATTTTCCATTTTTAAAAGAAACATGTGACAATCTACTCTCAGAATGTTTTAGGTTTTTAGCTAAGATTTGCTGGAACACTCGCTCAGCACCAGCTGCAGCTGTTATAGTTCATTCTTTATGATAACGTGTGTTGTGGCTTCTCCAATGTGAATGTCACATTGGAACTTCAGCACTGTATCAAATCTACAAGCGGCAGCAACTTGGAGAGGGGTAGGATGATGCAAATGCCAGGGAGAGGCAGCAAGTCCCATGTCTTTGGGAATGCAGATGTAGAGGCCCTCAACCAAGGAGAGGTGCTGGAGATTGCAACGAAGGCACAGGAGAGGCCTCACATTGAGGGGGGCTGGGGAAACACAAGTTGCAGGGAGTACATAAGGAGAAGCTGAGGGTCTTGGTGGAGAGACACAAATTGTGGCAAAGTCTCCGTGAACAGAAATCAGAGGTTATGGTGGATGAATGTGTGGCTGGAAGGCTGGTGTAGGAAGGGAAGGCCTCAAAGCCCTGGGGCACTAGGACTGGCCCTGGGGAAGATGGCACCTCTAAAAGCTGGATAGGTTGTGTTGAACCTGTGTAGAGCTGGGATTGAGTTCCTTGCAGGTTGTGTGCCAGTGCTGTCGAGAGGGTTTTCAACCAGCTTGGTGGGAATTTGGGAAACTGGACAGCAGAGAAGACAGACGGGGCCTGTGCTTTAATGTCTCATCTGGCTGTGCTCCTCTTATTATTGCACTTCTATGGCCAGGCTAGATTGTCAGCTCTGGTTTCTGGAATGCGAATAAATGCACAATGTTCTGACACAGGTAAGCCTGTGGTCCGTGGCTAATGGTTCTAAAATAGACCACATTCCTAATTCGTAGTTTATATTGTGTCCCATAAATGTTTGTTTGTCTGTCAAATATATCCTTCCAGAAGATAAAGGGCCGAATCTTCTGAAGAATGTCTGTCTGCTTCACTCCTCCTTTTGTCAGCCCTAACCTAGCTCTGCATTTCTAGCTGAGGCTTCTGATGCCAGCCTGTTAATAAATGTGGAAGAGGGTAAAAGATGTGCCACACCTTCACTTTACCACACTAGTTGCCATATTCTGGTAGGTGTTCATTCAGTATCACACTGGGCATGGGAATAATGAAACAGCGTTTAGTGAGTCAGTTTATACATTTGCCAGTTGTCTGTTTATTAAGGCAGGAGTCAGTCTATCATCTTCAACTGTTTATTGACATTTCATAGTCCAATACAAAATCCTGGTCTGCTATCTTCCCCTTCCTGATCTACTCCCATTTACTGATGAAAAGCATCCCTTAAATATACGCTCCAAGGAAAATCTGCTCTCTATTATTTCTGGAGCATGTTCCAGTTCATCCTTGTGCTATTGTTTTGTCATTAACGAGTGAATGTGGGTGAAGGAGAGGGTAGGATGGATGAGGTATAGGGTTTAGCTAGGCAGGGACGGAGCTGGGTGAGATAGAAGGCTGGTGGAGTGGCGTATGGGGTTGGGGTGCAGGTGAGATCCAGGGAGCCGGTGAGAAAAGAGAAGTTTGAGACTGGTGCAGTTGGGAAAAGGAGAAAGTCAAGGCAGGCCGGAACAAAGCAGAGAACGAGGTAGGACTGATAAATTAAACTGCATTTATCTCAATGCAAGAGGCTTAACAGGTAAGGCAGATGAACTGCGAGCATGGTTGGGAACGTGGGACTGGGATATCATAGCAATTACAGAGGCATGGCTCAGGGATGGACAGGACTGGCAGCTTAGTGTTCCAGGGTCTACGTGCTAAAGGAAGGATAGAAAGGGGGGCAAGAGGGGGGGAGTGGCATTTTTTGATTAGGGATAACATTACACCAGTACTCAGGATATTCCTGGGAGTACATCCAGGGAAGTTATTTGGGTGGAGAAGAATTTGTGTGTACAAGAAAATTTTCTCATTCAATATGTGGATGTACCTACTAGAGAAGGAGCAAAACTTGACCTACTCTTGGGAATATGAAGGCAGGATTGAGGTGTCAGTGGGAGAGCACTTTTTGGGGCCAGTAACCATAATTCTATTAGTTTTAAAATAGTGAAAAGGATAGACTGGATCTAAAAGTTAAAGCTCTAAATTGGAGGAAGGCCAACTTTTACAGTATTAGGCAAGAACTTTCAAAAGTTGATTTGGATGGGGGGGGAAGGGAGGGTGGATATCTGCAGGTAAAGGGACGGCTAGAAAATGGGAAGCCTTCAAAAATGAGAACGAGTCCAGAGAGTGTGTGTTCCTGTTAGGGCAAGTCTGGCAGGTGTGGGAAATGCTGGATGACTAGAGAAATTGAGGCTTTGGTCAAGAAAAAGAAGGAAGCATATGTTAGGTATAGATAGCAGGGATCGAGTGAATACCTTCAACAGTATAAAGGCAGTAGGAGTATACTTAAGAGGGAAACCAGGAGGGCAAAAAAGGGACATGAAATAGCTTTGGCAAATAGGGTTAAAGAGAATCCAAAGGGATTCTACAAATACATTAAGGGCAAAAGAGTAACTAAGGAGAGAATACGGCCTCTTAAAGATCAGCAAGGCCACCAATGTGTAGAACTGCAGGAGATGGGGGAGATACTAAATGAGTATTTTGCATCAGTGTTTACTGTGGAGAAGGATATGGAAAATAGAGAACTTAGAGAAATAAGCAGCGACATCTCAATGTCCTTATTACAGAGGTGGTGGTGCTGGATGGCTTAAAAGATGTAAAGGTGGATAAATTCCCATGACTTCATCAGGTGTACGCTGGAACTCTGGGAAGTGAGGGAAGAGATTGCTGGACCCCTTGCTGAGATAGCAAAAACAAAGTTGCTGGAAAAGCTCAGCCGGTCTGGCAGCATCTGTGAAGGAGAAAACAGTCAATGTTTCTGGTCCAGTGACCCTTCTTCAGAACTTGCTGAGATATTTGTATCATCAATAGCCATAGGTGAGGTGCCGGAAGACTGGAGGTTGGCTAACGTGGTGCCACTATTTAAGAAAGGTGGTAAGGAAAAGCCAGGGAACTATAGACCGGTGAACCTGACATTGCTGGTGAGCAAGTTGTTGGAGGGAATCCTGAGGGAAAGGATTTACATGTATTTGGAAAGACAAGGACCGAGCAGGGACAGTCAGCATGGCTTTGTGTGTGGGGAAATCATGTCTCACTAACTTGATTACTTCTTCAAAAGAACACAATGAAGAGGATTGATGTGGGCAGAGCAGTGGACGTGATCTTTTTTTTTGGACTTCAGCAAGGCGTTTGACACAGTTCTGCATGGTAGACTGGTTTGCAAGGTTTGATCAGATGGAATACTGGGAGAACTAGCCATTTGGATACAGAACTGGTTCAAAGGTAGGAGACGACAAGGTGGTGTTGGAGGGTTTCTTGTCAGACTGAAGGCCTGTGACCAGCGGTGGGCCACAAGGATCAGTGCTGGATCCACTGCTTTTTGCTTAATCTTTTAACAAAGATCTGTAGCTCGGGTTGCAAATACAATCCCACCCCACCCCTTAACAACCCACAAGCAAGAAAAACAGCTGAACAAGATGGCCACAGGATGCTATGAGTTATAGTGACAGATGCCCATAACCGCCTCCCCAAATATGGATGAGAAATATTGCGCCAAAAATCTCGACACTTGAACTCGATCAACCAACGATGGACCACAACTCTCAAATAGGCCATCCGGGTCCGGCAAAACAGGACCAGAACCAAGAAGAGACTCGCAACAGGAAAAACTGCTGGAACTGATGCATAGCAACGACAAGAACTAACCAGACACGTGGATAAGAAATTTTGTAAGACTGACACCTTGCAGACACCGAGAAAACTGTCATAATACAGAGACTTAACTATAATTAATGGACGCCAACAAAACAGACTTCCTGTCTGCGCTCGAGGCTACACTGAAATCTAATGGACTCGCTGACGAAATCCAACAAGCCGTCTGACCTCCTCTGAACAGGAGGAGCTAGGCAAATGCACTCAACACTTCAGAAAGAAAAGCCCTTGAAGGGCAATAAAGAAGAACAGGAACATCATAATCTTACTGGCAGACAAAAGCTGCTTGGTGGCTATAATGAACAAATTGGACCATATTGGAGAAGCACAAAAACTACTGGCAGCACTTATCAGCAGAGGGAGTCAGACCCCACACCACAGTTAGGGAACAGAACCACCCATACACTAAAGAAATTACAACGGGCAGGCCAAATAACAAGAACAGACTTCCTAAAAATGAAACCCGAAGGATCAAACAAACCAACCCGCCCCCGCCGCCACTGATTCTACAGACTACCCAAAGTACACAAACCTGACTTCCCCCTCAGACCCATAGCTTCCCTGCAGGGCACACTGACACACACAGGCTAACTAAGGAGTTAAAACGCAGACTAAAACACCTCACCGATGGATCGACCCACCCCGTACGTCCTGCACGGGAATTCCCGGACAACATCAGGAACATAAAAATCGACAAGGAGGAAATGATGGTATCCTCTGACATTTACAGCACTATTCACCTCTATCAACATGACACTAGCAAAGGGGATACTGGCTACATTACTGGACAATCCAAAAACACAAACCTCCAAATGAAACCATCAGCAAGGACAACATGCTGAAATGACTAGACCTATGCCTCACCCCACGTACACTTCATCTTCAACAGCCAGATATATGAAAAAATTAATGGAACACCCATGGGTTCACCCATCTGGGGGCTCATGTTGGAAGCTGTTATGCAAAGACTGGAACACACAGCCCTCCCCCAGATCCAGCTTAGACTATGGGTTAGATACGTGGATGATACCTACGTGATCATTAAACGAGCAAAGTTAGAAACACACCACCTTTTATCAACAGCATATTCACCGGGATCAGGTTCTCCAGGGAAGAAGAGAACAACAATCCAACTCTCGTTTCTAGACATAATGGTGAAAAAACGAACAACGGTGAATTCCTTACCAGCGTACACAGAGACTACACACACAGACCAAATCCTGAATTGCAACAGTAACCAGCCCAGTGTGCACTAATAGAGCTGTTCAAAGACCTGTTTGTTTGTTTAAACAAGCAATAACTCACTGCAACACCCTGGAGCTGTGCAAAAATGAAGAGGAACACCTATACAGAGCCTTTTGCAAACAATAGGTATCTCAACAGCTTCATCCGCCAATAGATGGCAAACAAACAACACCAAGAAGACACTGTACGCCCCAACACACAGGCCACCCTACCCTATGTTAGAAACACATCAGAACTGACTACAAGACTCCTGCGACCTCTTGGAATGAGGATAGCACACAAACCAACAGCCACACTTCTTCGCCAGTTACTCTCCAAGACGAAAGAGCCCATACGCACGATGAGCAGGACAAATGTGATATACAAAATACCATGCAGCAACTGCGAGAAACATTTACACAAGACAGACGGGCAGGAAACTCCCCACCAGGATACGTGAACACCAACTCTCCCTCGTTTCAATACACTCCAACATAGAGGGACATCGATGTGACAGTACTAGGAGAAGTGAGACAAAGACCAGCATGATAATTCCTGGACGTCTGGTTTTCAACCACCGATGCAGTTAACATAGACCCCATCTACATACCACTATGGTACAAAACCGGAAACAAGACTGCCCACCGTGACAGACCAGACTGTATAAGTTCAGAGCAGGACAGCTTCAACGGAGGCTACGCAACACTGACTATGTCCCCTACAAGGGAGACGAAACATTTGCACGAAAACCAGTCAGCTCGGTGAACCAACCTACAACTCCAACTGCTTTTCAAATCCAAATGACTTGGATTTGAACATGGGAGGTATGGTCACTGAGTTTGCAGATGACATGAAAATTTGGAGGTGTAGTGGATAGTGGGCAATGAAGAAGGTTACCTCGGAGTGGAATGGGACCTTTTGATCAGATGGGCCAGTGGGCCGAGGAAGGGTAGATGGAGCTCACTTCAGATAAATGTGAGGTGCTGCATTATGGAAAGGCAACTCGAGGTAAGGTCCTGAGGAGTGTTGCTGAACAGAGGTACCTTGGAGGGCAGGTTCAAAGCTCCTTGAAAGTGGAGTCGCAGGTAGATAGTATAGTGAAGAAGGTGTTTGGTATGCTTGTGTTTATTGGTCAGTGCATTGAGTATAGGAGTTGGGAGCTCATGTTGTTATGGTTGTACAGGACATTGGTTAGGTCACTTCTGGAATACTGTGTGCAGTTCTGATCCTGCTATACAAAAGATGTTGTGAAACTTGAAAGAGTTGAGAAAAGATTTACGCGGATGTTGCCAGGATTGGAGGGTCTGAGCTATAGGGAGAGGCTGAATAGGCTGGGCCTATTTTTCCTTGGAGCGTCGGAGGATGAGGGGTGAACCTTTTTTAGAGGTTTATCAAATCATGAGTAAATAGACAAAATCCTTTCCCAGTGGTGGGGGAGTCCGAAACTAGAGAGTATAGGTTTAGGGTGAGAGGGGAAAGATTTAAAAGGGACCCTGAAGTGGCATCTTTTTTCACAATGAGGGTGGTGTGTGTATGGAATGAGCTCCCAGAGGAAGTGGTGGAGGCTGTTACAATTCCAACATTCAAAAACATTTGGATGGTTATATGAATAGGAAGGATTTAGAGGAATATGGACCAAATGCTGACAAATGGGACTAGATTAATTTAGGACATCTGGTCCGCATGGATGAGTTGGACCAAAGGGTCTGTTTCTGTGCTGTACAGCTCTGACTCTATGACTCTAGTGTTTCCTGGGCAACTATCCAGATGATCAAGTCAGAATTGTTTTAAATGTTTCAAAGAGTCCTTGGAAAAAGGGAAATTGTCCTGTTGAAATTTGAAACTTGCCGAGCAATTCCTACAGTGATGGGTCTTCTACGGGATCTTGGCAGACAACAGGAACTGATCGACCTTAACCAAAAGAAATTCATGTAGGAGTGTGAGATAACCAAGTTTAGAGCTGGATGAACACAGCAGGCCAAGCAGCATCCGAGGAGCAGGAAAGCTGACGTTTCTGGTCCGGACCCTTTTTCAGAAATCCTTTAGACCAGAAAAGTCAGCTTTCCCGCTCCTCTGCTGCTTGGCCTGTTGTGTTCATCCAGCTCTACACCTTGTTATCTCGGATTCTCCAGCATCAACAGTTCGTACTATCTCATGTCGGAGTTTACTTGATTACAGCATCCAGTCACATTGCAAGAGCCTTCATAATTTAGACCTCTGCTGTATTAATGATGACTGTATGTGGATATTCAGAGTTTGTTCACAGGAAAGGTTAGTCCTTTGAAAGAAAGTGATCACCAGCTAAAGCTATGTGGGAATGTCTGCCATCAAGTGGAACTATCTTTACAACCTGGACAGGCTGCATCAGGTTCTATAGTCTCCGTTTAATTCCTACCAAAGACATATATTTTTTCCTGGCAAATTTTCTTCTGCAGATTAAGTATGCTAGTTTCTTTCTATAGCAAAAATACCAGACAAAAACCTTTTTTTAGAGACAGGGAATGCCTCATTTATATATGTTTTACTGATAGGCTCAACTGATCAGATTTGAGCTTCAACACAAGCAATAGATATGGCAATAATGAATCCTGACAGGAGGAGAGCAGGCACTGAGTAAGAAAGTTTACAGGAACTACTTACACTATCATGAAAACGTTTTTGTATCTAGCTGGAAACCTATCCTGAAAGCCACTTCACATTTTGCTGAGACTGTGTGTATATTCTCCTCTTCTTTTCTCCCCTTACAGTCTGGATGAAGAAATAACGACAAAGGGAACAAAACGGCAGGATAATGCTGGACTTCACCATCTGCGTGCAGTGATCAATGATTCTGTTTTACTTCTAGAACAGGTATTTCGAGCAGGGCGAAATTGTTTCCTTGGATTTTCGCATTGGGTGGCAGGATGAATTGTGTTTATAGCAATCCAACCCTGTGTGTCTTGAGAATGCCAGCAGGTCAAGTTGCTCCGTGATCCAAGCCCTCAATGCCTGAGAATCGGCTGGTCAAAAGCCTGCCTCCATTTCAAAACCTCGGCCTGGCAACTCCAGCACTTGCCTAAACTCTGACCAATTCCCTCACTCGTTTATTTACTTTAGCCCTCGAGCCCTCTGTAACAACAATTGGAAGTTGGAGTAGGAAGGGCAAGACGGTTGCTCAGGGGTTAGCACTGGTGCCTCACAGCAGTGGGGACCCGGGTTCAATTCCAGCCTCTGGCGACTGTGTGGAGTTCGCATGTTCTCCCTGTGGTGTCTGCGTGGGTTTCCTCCGGGTGCCCCAGTTTCCTCCAATAGTCCAAAGATGTGCAGTTTAGGGTGGATTGGGCGTGCTAATTTACCCCATAGTGTCCCGGAATGTGCAGGCTAGTTGGGTTAGCTATGGGAAACGCAGGGTTACAAGGATATGGTAGACGGGTGGGACTGCAGCCTGACCATTTGCTTGCAGCCATTGAGCCAGGGCGGAAATGACTATTACAAGGGGGCATAATTTTAAGGTGATTGGAGGAAGATATAGGGGAGATGTCAGAGGTAGGCTCTTTACACAGAGTGGTGGGTGTGTGGAATGTGCTGCCGGCAGTGGTAGTGGAGTCAGATACTTTGGGACATTTAAGCGATTCTTGAATAGGCACATGGATGATAGTAAAATGTAGGGTATGCAGGGTAGTTTGATCTTAGATTAGGATAATAGGTTGGCACAACATTGTGGGCCGAAGGGCCTGTACTGTTCTATGTTTGGAAGCTTTTTATGAAAGCATGCAACTCGGTGACGTGTTTGAAGTGGTCACTAGCAAACTGTAAGCTGTTGTCTGAGATGAGCTTCTCAAGAACACTGTGTAGTGATAATCCCTTGGAGCCTAGCAATAGCTATCATTTCAAGGTGTGTGATGGCCAAATGTTGAGAATAATAGTGACCGTAAGGAAAGTTTTTACCCTTGAAGGCAGATTCAATCTGAGGTGTTCCCTTGGCCAAAAAAGGGAAGGTTCATTCTGTCAAGAGTTTCTTTGTGTTCTTACCTATGATTGGCACGCTTTGGACAATTGGAGATTTGTGTTCAAAGGCCTTTGATTTCCAGCCACCAAATGGAGCCATGCCCAGTATTTGGTGATGCTGAAATGACCCTGATATAGATGTTAGAGTGTACACTCTGAGGACATAACTGGTCTGTGATCTGCCTTGGACAAATTCCATTGCACCAAATAAATAAGCAGATGGAACTGGGTTCAGGTGACACCTTTGCCAGCTCCTTAGTTTTAAGGGTAGCCCCAATAGCTTGTAGTCTGTTTGGATTGTGAACTTGAGACTAAGGTCGTAACCGTAAAAGAATTTTAATTTTAAACATTCCCAACTCTTCTGCCATTCTGAAAAAGGAGCTGATACATAGGAAAAATACACCAATCCCAATTTAAGTTGTTACTGTACGCTACCTTTCTGCAATTCATGCTTGAGGACCCTCAAATGTTTCTGTAGCACATCTCCTGTGTAAATATTATTTGATTTTTTTTTTTCTTTTCCTGTGAAAGTGTGCAACCTCGCATTTTCCCACACTATATTCCATCTGCTAAATTTTCATCCGCTCACTTGAACCTGCCAATATCCTCCTTGTAGACTCTTTGACTCATTCTCACTTCTTGTCTTCCCATCTATTTTTGTGTCATCCACCAACTCAGCCCATAGTACATTCACTTCCATCATCCAAATCATTTAATAGAGGTTGTAAATATCTATGGCCCCAGCACCGATCCCTGTGGCACTCCTCTAGTTAAAGGTTGCCGTCCTGAAAATACCCCCTTTATCCCAATTTTCTGTCTTCTATTCGTCAGCAATTGTCATTTCATGCTAAAATGCTACCCTGCCACCATAGGCTCTTCTTATTAAGTAGGCTTGTGTAGAACCGTATCAATCCAAATAGATTGCACCTTTTCTAAATTCATTTGTGGGATGTGGGCGTCACTGGCTGGGTCGGTATTTCTTGCCCATCCCTAGTTGCCCTTGAGAAGGTGGTGGTGAGCTGCCTTCTTGAACCACTGCCGTCCTCCTGCCGTGGGTTGACCCACAATACTCCTGCTTCACTGTTTTCTATCCCTCCAGAAAGGTCACTTTTAAATTTGTCGGGTATGACATCCACTTCACGCTGATTCTGCTTGTCTATATTCCATTTCTAAATACTCTACTAGTAAGTCCTTTTTATAATGGATTCTTAATTTCTGCCACCGGTGGAGGGGGGAGGGGATATTGGCAGCTTTTCAGAATCTAGGGGTTATTGGAAGATTACTGTCGTTCATTACCAGCGCATTCATTATCTCTGTCGCTTCTTCCTTTTAAAATCCTAAGGTACACTCCATGGTGGAAGGGAACCTATTGTCCTTTAGGTCCATTAGTCTCTCTAATACTTTTCCTGTAATGATAGTATTTGTGCTTATTCCCCTCATCCCAGCCCCTTTTGATTATTTTGTATTTTTCGATTTGCTATTGGTCCCTCTACTGGGATGACTGATGGAAAGCATCCATTTGACATCTGTTTCCTGAGTCTGTTTTTCTAAAGGCTTGGTGTTCATCTTGGCCCCTCTCTTCCATTTGATACATTTTAAAGAATCGTATGTTGATATATTACATGCTCGTTTTCACTCAATTTCTTTTCTTCTTTCCTCTTATTTTTTAGATTTGTGTTTTATTATTTTTCCTGTGTTTAGTAATTAATGAATTTCTTTTTTTCTTTCACTCAAAACCTTGTGATTGGTTTCCTATTTGATTCTGGTCAATTAGTGAACTACATTTTAATTATAATGTGAATCAGCTATGTGTTACAAAGGATTTAAAATCTTCTGCAGAAAACTGAGGCATTTAGAGTTATAGAGTCACAGAGCACGAAACAGACCCTTTGGTCCAACTAGTGCATGCTGACCATAATCCCAAACTAACCTAGTCCCACCTGCCTGCACTTGGCCCATATCTCTCCAAACATTTTCTTATTCATGGATTTGTCTAACGGTCTTTTTAAACATTGTAACTGTACCTGCATCCACCACTTCCTCTGGAATTTCATTCCACTTAGCAACCACTGTGTAAAAACAGAAATTGCCTCACGTCGGACTAGTTTAGTTTGGAATTATGTTTAGCATGGACAAATTGGACCAAAGGGTCTGTTTCCGTGCTGTATGACTCTATCTTTATATCTTTCTCCTCTTACCTTTTAAAAATATGCCCCCTAGTCTTGAAATTCCCCACCCACCCTAAGGAAAAGACACCTGCCATTCACCTTCACTATACCTCTCATGATTTTATAAACCTTTATAAGATTACCCCTCAGTGGAAAAAGTCCCAGCCTATCCGGCCTCTCCTTATATCTCAACCCTAAAAGAGAGGTGATTCTGATTATAACAGTACTTGTATACAAGAAGAACATTCATCCTATCAATTCTTTTGCTTTGCTTTCTTACTCCCAGCTGAAAGGTTCACTGGCGACAATCCAGAAGAGTTTTGAACTGAAAAACCAGACAGTGAAAAACCCAATCAGATAGCATTTCTGAAGAATGCGGGTGAAATCTATGCGTGGTTGAGAAATGAAGATGGAAAACAATAAAAATAATACCTTGTATTTATATACTGCCTTTCACATTGAGAGCAACCCATAATAATAAATTATGTTTATGCCTGGGTTTGGGAAGTAAAGCTGCAGCCTCTGACCCAAATCACTGATATTGACCCTTTTTAAATGTATAAATTGTGATAATCACAGTTTCAGTCTTTGGACGTACAGTACTGAACACAAAAGATAAGTTCAACAATTTTAATTTGCAACCATGAATTTTCCAGAGCTTTGGAATTTGATTAAATGACAAAATACTGCATTAAAGCACTGCACTTCACTAATCATTTAATCACTCTATTTTCACCGGTTAAGAACTGTCCAGCTTGTTTCAGCTATGTTTCTTCATTGATTGATTGATTGATTTTATTTTTTTTTTTTTTTTTTTTTTTTGCTGCACCATTTTCTAAGCAATGTTCCATTTGATGTGGAATTGACACTCTAGCAGTCGCCGTGCACAAAACATATCTAGAGTTTGTACTTAGAATAAACACAGATTTTGTTTTAATGTTTATGAATAGATTTTTAATGCATAGTATCGAATTGCAAAGTCTGTTCTAAAACTTGAACTTTTTTTTAGCGAAGAAGGCAAGGTTATGATGTGATCTGAGAAGCACCACTCAGGGTCACTTGTTTCATTGTTTACATTTTAGAATTTTAGTTTGAAATGTAATATTATTCTGCTTGTGTTTCTAATTAAGCATTGGTTGCTAATGAAGACTTGAAGGCAGAAATTACTTTCGAATGTTTAGTGTATGCAACTAATAGCTGTGTTTGCTTATGGAGGCACAAGAAACAATGCTTGCTAAGATACTGGCCAGAGAAATATCCTTTAGAAATATGAAGTGTTTCTCTGTTGATACGAACAGTAATTTGGATTCTCTTTTAAGTTGAGGCAGGAAGCCAATGTCAACTGTGTAATGGTGTGGTGAAAGATGACTTGGATGTTCTGATGCATCTCATCTTTCATTAGATAACTGGAGTTCCTGACCTTAAGGACCTGCTGTTGGAATTTGTTTTATTTGAATGAGTTTGGTTGTAATTTATGTAAAATTAATAATCACTTGGGGAATCAAAATTCAGGAAAGGGATTTTAGATTATCCATATTACATTAGTAATGAATAGGTACTGGACAAGGATGGTAAGGAAATGTACATCAATTGGCAAACTAAAGACATTTTATGGAAAGATTTTTTCCAAGTTTTAAATTTCTACTGTGCAATATCTGTAGGGCATTGTTCTGGAAATAAACTCTATTCATTGTTAATTGCTTGTTTCTGTATCACTGTTTCTTGGGTAGAATCTTCCTTTTTAAACAACATTGTTGAGAGGTTTAAATAGGAACATGAGTAATCCGCTTGTGTTGTACTCTAAACCTAACATTTATCTCGCTTGAGAGTTTTTGACCACTTATTGGAGAAGACTAGATGCCTTTTTTTGTGGATTTCCATCTTGTTGTAGTGGAAAGGCTCGAATTCCATTGATCCTGGGAGTGATGCAGTCAGGAGGTCCTCAGTTCTTGGCATGGCCACCCATGATCGTAAGTTCAGAGGGAAGGTGCCAGACAAAGCATAATCCAAAACACCACCTCCAGCGGTATTCCAGGAGGAAGATATCTGTCTGTTATCAATGGCTGTAATGGCGGATGAAGGCTGCAGCAGTAGGGAGATCCCCAGTTGTTGAAGTTGTCGAGGAACGTGTGTTTGCTGATGTGCAAAGACAGTCCAAGTTAGAAGATAACCTGGGGAATTCAACCCCCAAACGACCACCGTGGACATCAGGATATATGCGCGCATGCACCTCTCCCTAACTAATATTGCTGCCTACCACTGCAGATACTACAAGCCAGGAGCAACCTTGCACACTGACCTCTCTAGAAGCAAAACTGCCTCAGAAAGGGAATGGTACCTTACTTTCCACCTGGATGTCCTACTGGATGTTGTGGTATAGAGAAGGACCATCTTCCCAATTGGTGGGCCACGAGAGGAGGTTGAGGAACCAAGCCCAGCTGGTATAGACTCTCATAATAGCTCATCTCGGGGTCAGATCAAATGTACAGCAGTGCAGGGACATGGTCAGTGACCTGTGTTCCATAACGTTATCTGCTACCATCTTCTCTCTGTCTCACTATTGCCAGCATCTTCTTTCAGCAACTCCTGCCCACCACATCCTGTTTAACCCTTCCTAACCCCTGGCTGAAAATGCCAGGCTCCAAGAATTGCAACGTGAGAAAGCAATAAGAAATAAAGCCAGAACATGCAATGTGTGTAGATGCATGAGATGGTGGTGTGACCCTATGCATGAAGCATGGGACAGGGTGAGGCGGGTGCTTTACTGATGCTAACTTCAGTGGGGCGAAGGCGAGAGGGCATGGCCCATGCAGCATTCAAGGACACGTTGATGAAAGGACGGTAAAGTGGAGCCTTGGAAAAGCAAGGGCTGAGCTGCAACATCAGGTAATGACTGTTTCTATTCAGGAATTATTGCTGCCCAAGGCCTCTGGAGAGGAGGGTAGATTTGCAAGCTGCACAGAAATGAGACGAGATTCGGTAGGAGATGGAAAAGAAGGTAGTCGTTTATTAGTGTGATTCACAACTTGCCATTAAATCTGAAGGGGAAAATCAGAACTTCTGTTTGCAACATCAAGGTTCAGATTATTTTCGATGATGCTACCTTTTCCTAGGTTCCCTGTCATTGCCCCAGTCTGAGGGGCATGGACAATGCTACCCCACAATTCAGAACACTAGGCACTCGGGATGGAATTGTATAGGGGTCTGAACAATGTGGGCTATGGAGAGAAATCCTGCGAGAGGTCAGGTGAGGGTTATCTCGTAACTAGGAGAACTCACTGCAACATCCAGATGTCCAGGGGAGACGTACACTAGGTTGCAGCTTTCCAATGACCTTACTAACATCCTGTCTCATTTAACATGCAGCTTCCTATCTCACCAATCCGCTCCAAGCAAGCCAGACACCTGAATGCTCTGTGGCATTAGAGCGAGTTCCTGATGACTTCAGCTGGCTGCTGGCTACTTGCACCAGAAAGACCTCCATAGAGTGATGGAGCTATACAGCACAGAAACAGATCCTTCTGTCCACCTTATTTCTGCTGACCAGATCTCCTAAATTAATCGAGTCCCATTTTCCAGCATTTGGCCCATATTCCTCTTAAACCCTTCCTATTCATGTACCCATCCAGATGCTTTTTAAATGCTGTAACTGTACCAGCCCCCACCACTTCCTCAGGCAGCTTATTCCATACACGCACCACCTTCTCCGTGAAAAGGTTGCCCCTTATGTCCTTTTTTAAATCTCTCCCCTCACCTTAAACCCTCCTAGTTTTGGACTCCTCCAGCCTAGGAAAAAGACCTTGGCTATTCTTACTGTCCATGCTCCTCATGGTTTTATAAGTCTCTATAAGGTCACCCCTTAGCCTCTGACGCTTCAGGGGGAAAATAGCTCTAGTCTATTCAGCCTTTCCCTACCGCTCATTGCCTCCAATCCTGTCAACATAACATCCTTGTAAATCTTTTCTGCGTTTATGTTGGACGTTGGGCAAAGTCACCTCAGGGCACTGGCCACCTGCACTTCGCATCCACAGATGTTGGCATCTGATGTATCGGCCTCTAAGAGCCCTTGTGGCCTGTAGTGTGGAAGTATGCTGTCACTGTAATATGCAGCATGGACACTTTGGGGGGGGTGTGGGGTGTGCACACAGCTAATGGACTGGACCAGGCCTCACCTCCTGGGCTGTTCATTCGCTCTCATGTGCATACTATCTCATAGCATTCTTACTTTACACTATTTTTAAACTTGTCCCCCTCAGCTAGAGATACCAGTTTCTCCATGCTACTGCCTTGCTGTGCCATTTATTGCACACACCAAGCGAGGAGGCCCATCATTGTTGTTATAGTTCTCAGCCGTAGCAAGGAGGGAAAGCCTTTACACGGGGGGGTCCCCAACACAATAAATCCGGGGCAGTCTGCAATTCCAGTCCAGGGTCTTGGGTATGGTCAGTCAGCTGCTCAGGGTGGTCGGAGTCAGAATCCTTCTCTTCAGAAGATGTGAACAGCTGCCTGCCTGCCTTTCTATGTTGGAGGCTGTTTTCCTCCTGGAACATGTGTGCGGCAGCTATTCAGGGAGATGAAAGTGGATGGAACAGCTATTACTGTTGGTGCAGGTGGGGAGGTATCCTGGGTGAGTGAGTGGGCAGTGCAAAGGGCATACAGGGTTACTGGTGTCGGAGGCTGGGATGGGTGACGGTGAGTGAGGGAAGATGGTGCAGGCAGATGTGAGAGTGATAGAGCCTGAGCCTTGCTGGGATGTGGGTACGGTAGATGAGAGAGTGAGCCTGAGGTATCAGAGAGATGGTGGCACTTACATTGGCAGAGTAGAGATCATTGACTTTCTTCCTACGTTGCTTCACATTCCTCCAGACAGCTGAGACTGCTGTAACTTGGGTGTCAAGCTCGGATTAGGCTGGCATACTCCCATCATTATGGCCTCCGCCGCTGTACTAGGGAAGACAACATACTGCCTCTGCTCCAGCCCATGCACCCTGCAGGACCTGCCTGCAAAGTGAAATGAATATTTTCCCTTGTGGACCATTCTAGGACAAATGTCAGAAACTGTGCAGGGTGGCTCCTGAGCTTGTCTGGGCGCAACAAAGCCTTTTTGAAGGTGATGCCAGCCCCAGGAATTCCGGTAAATTCTGGGATATCCCAGCAGTGGTGAACTGTTCTAGGAATGGCACGTGGTAAAGCTGGGGCTAGAATTGGGCCAGGGGATGTCAATAGGAGTGGGATGGATGGTTACTGAGGTGGCTTTGGTAAAATATAGTGATCTTGCTAGGGCTTCAGTGAGAAACCCTCTTAAGGAAAAAAATTGGCAAAACCGACAACCAAAAGACTAAGATTCAGTCCATCGGCAAATTGTGGTTAATTTATGAAAGCCAACATGGAATAGTTAAGGTGAATTCATACTTGACTATCTTGCTTAAGTTCTTTTGAGGTAAGGAAGAGCACTGAGGCTAATGCTTTGATAATGTTTACATTATCAAATACCTTTTGGAAGTCAAAGTGCTGCAAAATGCCCTCGAGAGTACACTGATTCAGCCTCAGCTGGAAGATTGCATCTAGTATTAGGTGCCACATGTTAGAACGGATGTGATGGCACAGAAAGAGTGCAGAAAAGAATTCACAAGAATAGGCCCAGGGATGAGGAACTTGAGTCGCACAGATACATTGGAGAAGTTGAGACTGTGTTTTCCTTGAAGTTTTGATTGAGGGTATTACAGACAGATTCAAAATCCTGACGAATTAGGAGACAGTAGACAGCGAAACACTTATCCTGGAAGGTACAACAAGTAGAAAAACCGATTTATTCACAAACAAAAACAGAACCAGAAATTGCTGGAAAAGGGTCATCGGACGCGAAACATTAGCTCTAATTTCTCTTCACGGATGCTGCCAGACCTGCTGAGATTTTCCAGCAACTTCTGTTTTTGTTTCTGATTTACAGCATCCGCAGTTCTTTCAGTTTTTATAACAGGTTTATTCAAATTGACAAAAGAAGCAATGGCAACATGAGGAAAAACACTTTCACCCAGTGAATTGTTAGGATCTGGATCACAGCCTGAGATTTTGGTAGAAATAGATTCAAGAGAAACTGGATTATTATCTGAAGAAGATGAAGGATTACTTTTTATCCCTGTAATGTGGTTTTAGTTGAATTCCTCCCTCAGAGAGTTGGCACTTACATGATGAATTGAATGGCTTCCTTCAGTGCTATAACTATTATTCTTTTGTTACCACAGATGCTTCAACATGCTTAACTTTAGTGAGTGAAACCTGTAGCACTTTCTTGAAAACAATAAGTGCTGGACATCACAGTGGGTCAGACAGCATTCATGGAGAGAGAGCAAGCTATCATTTTGAGTCCCGATGACTCTTCATCTGCAGTAATTTGTTCCTGTAGCACTTTATGTTACAGATGCTGGTCCATTTGTACAGTAATCGTAGCATTGTATAACATGCTGATGAAAGATTTTGCAAAAACGATTAGAGGTGCAACTACAAACACGTTCTATGTCCACAGAGCTCTTCTTAAAGACAGTCAAAAGGATATTGTTTGCTCATTACACAACAAACTTGGATTTATCAATATATTGCTTCCATTGTGTTCGGACATTTTCTTAAACTTTTTAAAAAATGCAAGTAAAACTTGTTTAGTGAAACCTTTATTCCAAAGTAGTAGCAATGACTATAATGTACAATATATTCCAATTCCAAAGAAGGTCAAATATGGTCAACTATTCAATGTAGTAATTGTAAAAGATTCTAATTTTCTTCGTTAATATCCACATGTTTCTATCCACTAATCGTTTCATTATATATGGTCTTATTGCTTTAGATCGTTCCCATTCTTTTCTCTCCACCTTCCCCAACACTCTGATTTTATCCCTTGAAAACTGCAAAAGTGTAAAGTTGTACGTTTTTATCCCAATTTGCAGCTTCTAGTGAACACACTAACTTAACTCCAACTAAAATACTGGACTGGACTGGACCTTCTGATTAGTGCTGGTGTTTCAAATGGGAGAGCTCATTTTGACAGTTGCTGTAAATTCTATAAATTCAAGAGTTGTTTTAAAAAAAAGTTCAAGCAAGTATGTTGAAGACTATATTTTCTTCTTGGCATAAAGACAATCATATTCAATTAAAAAAGGTCCCTATTTATTTTCTTTAAAATTGCACAATTAACAGTAAGGGACGTATGAAAACAAATCCTTAAACTTCTTTTCATTGAAACCTGAGTGATAAGTTTAATTTTGTTTGCTAGTTTCTTGCAGTACAACATTCTCCTGTGCATTTCATTAAAACCGAGTCAAAATACAGCAGAATACCTTTTTTAAAAAATAACTTAATGTGCTTGCAAATTACTAAGACCTCATCAAAGTACTATGCTGCATCCATAAATCCACAAGTCAGTGAGCTGATAAACTCTGCGCCATCAACTCTCCGTAGAAATGGGTTCGAACATTGATGCCTGAGAACTGGTTTGATAATTGGTCTTCAAGTATGCAATTGTTTGCAGAATGCAATCCAATTTTAAACAACAACAATTAAAAACCCAAATGAAATTTACAAAACATAATGTGCTGCTTAGAGCATAGCCAGCCCTGAAATCATGAGCACAGCAAGCACAGAAAATCCATGTAGGGTTCTCACAGAACCAGAACAAGTTAAATCTGTAAAATAAAGACAAGACCATTAATTTTTTTAAAAATCATGATAGCAACTTTTGTTTCTCTCTGTTAATGAGGCAGTGCCTCATTCTTCATATTATTAAGAACAAATGTTCAGTTACAGCAGCTTGCATCATAGTGGTCGAGGATCTTTGGCATTTACTGTAAAACATTTAGTCCCTTCACTGACACATAATGTTTATCATCTGTAATATGCAATTCGGCAACTTGCACAGGCTCCTTCGACAGCATCTTCCACCTTAGAAGGATGAGGGCAGTAGATATCAAGGAACACTACCACCTGCAAGTTCCCTCCAAGCCACACATCATCCTAATTTGGAAAAGCAACACTGTTCCTTCATTGTCACTGGATCAACATCAGGCCTTCCTAACAGCACTGTGAACATACAGCAAACATCTTATTAACTGGCACCTGTGGGACCAGAAATGTGTGCTTCATCAAATAATCTGATTGATCAAGAGGTCTGCACAATTTTTGTAAAAACACACACGAGGTAATGCAGCGGGTATGCACATCACTGTTATAGGTTATCTACAGCATAAATCACAAATAATGGTGCAACTATGCCTTAAATAAGACTTACTGGCAGCGAGCCTTCTCACTCACACCCTCAACTGACTACTCGGAGATTGCAATAATACAGTAAACTTCCTGTATTTGAGCTATATCATTGCTGCTGGTTTGTCGAGAGTACAGGTGTCAGTTAAAATAAAGTTTGCTCTACCTACACAATATAGACTGCAGTGAACTGCTTCCCACCACCTTAACAGCAATTAGAGATGAGCAATAAGTGCTGGCCTAGCCAGTAATGCCCATGTTTCCTGAACAAATGAAAAAAAACAACTTGAGAGAGGAGATGAGGTTTCTGTTTAATGTCTTTTCCCGAAGGAGAAAGCACCTACAATGCATCAATGCCACAGTGCTGCATTAGTGATCAGCACGTGTTCAAGTCTCTGGAGTTTAATATAAACTGTGAGCTCAAGATGAGTGTGTTACCCGCCAATGTAAAGATCACAATAAGAAAATTTCGGCAATCTCAGTTTATTCATAAGAAAAAAAATCACCAAGCCTTATTGACTATTAGTGCATGATTGGGGGTTGTGCCGACAACTCTGAATTTCTGTTCATACGGAATAACTATACTCTGAGTAATTCAAGATTTATCCAAACATATTTTTCTATGGCAAGGGTTTGGAAAAGTGTTACATCTGGATTATATTATTTTACATGCAGTTATGGGTTCGCAGATTTAAAACTCTTGTCGCTCTAAAGAAAAAAACAAAATGGAATATTGCAAGCAAAGATTAAAAAGAAGGACTATCAGAAAATCTGAAGCAAAACAACAGAAAGTGGGAGATACAGGTGTTTGGTCAAGTCAGATTGCAGCTGGCAGATGAAGTGAATTTTCAACCCCTCCCCAAAAAAGGGTTGTGACTGGATCAAGCATCTTAGAATTAGACATGGTTCCATATTCTTAAATATTCTTGCAAATGGATGGTCCAGTGCAGTTGGACAATGCCAATTCAGGCAATCAGTTATTTAATTTATCTTTTAATGTCCTTTCCCACCCAGTAGATTATAGTTCATTGGGTAAGATGGTTTAATTGTTACAGTACAAGCACCCTCAGCCCTCAGCTGACAGATTTGTTATCGCTCAGTTCTGCCAAAAGATCTGAACTGCTAAAGTTTACTTACGGACATTTTCAGAGGTCAATTTTAGCCAATACTCTTCTCTGCTCCTGGCAACAGTTGCTCTGTAATAGAAAGCGATCATTGGCTTAAATATCAAACAAAAGAAATGGAACTGCAAGAAAAGACCAGCAGAACACCAAAGTTGGCCCCACAGCTCATCATGGAGACAGCAAGTGAGAGCCAGTCAGCTTGACCCCCAGGTAACTGAAATCAGTCTAAGGGACCACAATGATCAAGTGGTTCTATTAATCTACACATCTCTGATCTCTGCCATCTCAGAGGTGCTTAAACATCTGCTTAGAACAATGCAAGAGTCATCGTGCAGTATAACAGCTGGCAAGGAATTCCACAGCCTCAGTATTCACTGGACAATGAAGATCCAATCAACACTGACTGTATCAAATACATCTTTCCAGTGGTTTGCACGATAAACTCTGCTGGACAGATTATGTCCTTCTGAAATTTTATTCAGCTTATTAACTCTTGCCAAATATCAAAATACAGAATTACATCCAATTAAACTGATCCCAACTTCAAATTGCTCCCCAAGGTGGCTTGACCACCTCACATCGTGTTTGAATTTGATATTTCAGGCTTAACCAGTAGCACATACTTACAGAAATACCACTGTATCGTTCTTTGAACATGGTACGATCCAGGTGTAAGTAGTCATGTTGTTTTTTGGATTAGTGTTCGAATGAGTAATCGCGCTGTTCGCCTTGCTGAAACACTGTGATAAATGTAAGACAATGCATTAATCCAAAGGATTACAACTGGCTACAACTTGCTTCCAGTCAGTCCTGTTACACTACTCCCCCTCACCCTTGAATTCAAAAACATTTGTCCTGAAACTTGGAAATGTAAATCTCAAAGGGAGACAGGATTGAAAATGAAAGCAAGAAATAAATCAAAGAAAGAAAAAGAGAAAAGGTAAAATTACATCTTTAAAATCTCTCAAGTAAAGAAATTAGGCAGCAAATGTTTCTCTTTCTTGGCCTAAAGGCTGATTGACATCAATGTCAAACATCTCATTGTTAAAAGGGGTTAATCAGTAAAAACAGAGATAGCAAGAACTGCAGATGTTGGAGTCAGAGATAACACAGTGTGGAGCTGGAGGAACACAGCAGGGCCAGGCAGCATCAGAGGAGCAGGAAAGTTGATGTTTCAGGTCTGGACCCTTCTTCAGAAAACAAAATTAGTAAAACATGGGTTATTAATTAGACTGTATTTTCTGCTGTGGGTTTAGCGGACTTTTGTCCCTACCTTTGAACCAGGAGGCCTGGGGTTTGAGTCCAGACGTGCATAATAGCATCTCCAAACAAGTCGGATAGAGAATATTTTCTGTTGTGAGTTTAAAGGGCAAGTTTCACAATGCCATGAAATTCAGAGATTGTAGGATGAGTTTGAAGCTGACTCTGGAGCTCCAGTTCTGAATTCTAGGTGAAGGTCCAGTGAGATATCCATGTCCAACACACATGTGTATCCTGATACCAACAATCCCGTCCCCTCTCCCCACCATTCCTCCTTATGTTCGTTATGGGAGCCCACGACACCTTCCTGCTGTATAAAAGTGACCCTACGCTAATCTGGTGAGTGGTATAAAGATAAGTGGTATGGGAGCATTTATGTCATCAGAAATTATAATATTAAGCTGGAGAGGTTTCAGAAAAGATTAGCAGCATGTTGCCAGGTATGGAAGGTTTGAGTTATAAAGAAAGGCTGGATAGGCTGGGACTTCTTCACTGGAGTGTAGGAGGTTGAGAGGCGACCTGACAGAAGTTTATAAAATAATGAGGGGTATAGATAGAGTTAATGATAGTTGTCTTTTTCCTAGGGTGCGGGATTTCAAGAATAGGGGGCATACTTTTAAGGTGAGAGGAGAGAGCTTTAAAAAAAGACATGAGGGGCATTTTTTTTTACAGAGGGTGGTTTGCGTGTGGAATGAACTTCCTGAGGAAGTGGTGGATGCAGGCACAATTACAACGTTTAAAAGACATTTGGATAAGTACATGAATAGGGAAGGTTTGGAGGGATATGGGCCAAGAGCAGGCAGGTGGGACAAGTTTAGTTTGGGATTATGTTCGGCATGGACTGGTTGGACCAAAGGGTCTGTTCCTGTGCTATATGACTCTATGACTCTATAACATAGGATTTCAGATAATCTGCCATTTAACAAGATTATGGCTGATCTATTATGGTCTCAACTCCATTTTTTTTCTGCCTCCCCTTTTTCTGATCAGTAAGTTTTGAACTCTGCCTTTAATGAATTCAGTAATCCACTGCTGTGGTGAATAGAGAATTCCACAGGCTAATGGCCCTCAAAAGGAAAAAAAAATCTTATCTCCATCTTAAAAAGAAGACCTCTTATTCTTAAACTCTCTCGTTTAGCTTTAGGCTCCCCTTAAAGAGGGAACATCCTCCCAGCATGTACCCCATTACATCCCCTCAGGATCTTTAAATGTTTTAATCGGGTTACCTTACAATCTTCTAAAGTCTAATGGGTAACCAATCTTTTCAACTTTCATACGATAAGCCCCTTCATCCCAGGAGCAAGTTGGATGAACCTTCTCTGAAATACCTATGATGAAGTTATATCCTTTGACAAAGGTGGCGCGCCTATCAGACTGTTAAACACGTCCTTCGTGTGCTTCAACATTACTCTCCAAGAGATTATACGAAAGCACTAATGTGGCAAATAATCCGTAGCAAAAGCAAAAAAATGCTTTTTGATTATCTTTAAGACACTCTGACCACAATTGACTTACAGATGCAGTACTGATACAAGTGAAACCAAATTGCTCGTACCGGTATTGTTTTCGTGTCATTTGGCGGTGCTGACCATGTACCAATTGCAAGCATGTCGTTTGGATACCGTGCTTCCAGTAGGATCCCTCTGTAGGTTGGGCCCATTATTTTCACTGAAAAAGATTTTTTTTTTTGTAAACAAAAAAATTAAGAGTATGTACTTTACATCTTACTACCAGCAGCCCATCAGACTGGTATGGGATTTGTTGGCTTGCTAGAAACTCATCATGCAAGTTGTCCAAAATTTAGCAAAAAAACACGTCAGGTGAAAAGATAAAATGGAGGAAACAAACTTAACCCTTGACTAAAAACCGAAAGAACTGCAGATGCTGTAAATCAGGAACAAAAACAGAAGTTGCTGGAAAAGCTCAGCAGGTCTAGCAGCATCTGTGAAGGAGAAAACAGAGTTAACGTTTCGGGTTCGGTGACCCTACCTCAGATCTGTTCTGCTGAGCTTTTCCAGCAACTTTGTTTTTGTTCCTGACTTGTTCCTCAATTTACTGACTCCTCTGTCCTACGCTATACTTTTATCATAAAGACTTCTGACGCTGTTTGTTCTTTGTAGGGCAGAAATAACTTGTACTCAAAAATTGTTTTACTATATTCGGTGAATTGCAATGGCGCAAACTCCTAAAACCACAAATTAACTACCCAGAACATTACCCAAAAATCCCACTCCCCAACCAGAACTTCGGCCTGACGGAGAAGACAAAAGGTGGAAGTTAAACACAACAACAGAAATTGCTGGAGAAACTCAGCAGGTCTGGCTGCATCGGTGGAGAAAAAGCAGAGTCCATGCTTCGGGTACAGTGATCCTCCCTCAGAACTAAGTAGGGTGGTTCTGATTTCTAGCATCCGCACTACTTTGGGTTTTTTCTCTTTAGATATTAAGTTAAAAGGGAGAAAGATGGTACGCTACATGGCTGGACTCAAGAGTATTTGAATCTCAGGCTAGCAGTTCCCACCTCTGAATGGGCTAAACCGCTCTAAGCAGCTGTAAAACAGTTTGGTGCGTAAAGAGCTGGAACCTTTGAACTGTGTGTTGGCTGATTCCTTCTTCTGGGCACTCTCCTCGTGGTGTCGTACGAATTGGGCACTCACAACACTGCTCCTCACTGAAAAACACAGTCTTCAGCGTGGACCTTCACTGCTGCAGTAACAGCTATCTGCTGTTTGCTTCAGGCAGTGTCCCTCGCCAAGGGGCACTCATGGTCAGTCTCCTGTCAGGGTCCAATCCTTTCTGGGACCCCACTGTAAGCATCGACTAAACACCCAGGGCTGCAGGGTTTTTAGCTTCACAACTGGGGACCCTCTTTTTCTCCCTCTCCTTCTCCAGATTGTAACTTTTCACAACTGGTTATTTCTGCACCTGTGCTGAGGTCACAGGGTTAAGCTCCTCTTAGCTTTGGTTAGCTTTCTGCAGAGTCTGGCCCTGCGCTGATCCCTGCTCCTCCCCAAGGTCCATTCCCCAGTTATGGAGGTGGAGGTGGGGGGGTGGAAAGAGTGGGCATTGGACTGCATCTTATTTCCAAATCCCAGTCTTTTCTGATGATGGGGTTTTTTTTTTCAGAAAAATTAACACCAGAAGTTAGTGATAGAAGTAAAAGTCAGAAAGAAAGGTGTAGGGTGATAACGCTAACCCAGACAGGAACTGATTCCAACCCCCACTCCCCCCATTCACTAACCAGTTAGTGTAAGTAGTGAGATGCAGACACTATCCCCCCCAACCCCACACACACTCACACACACACACACACTCATACACTCACACACACATACATTCACACACACACTCATACATTCACACACACACTCATACATTCACACACACACACTCATACACACACACACACTCATACACTCACACACCTCCTGCACCTACCTTCCACTTTGTCGTTGTAACTTTTAGCCATGATGGAGTAGGGGGATGCTCCTGCCTGGGGGCTCGCACCGGCGTGTCTGGGGGCCATGGTCTGGCAGCTGCCTAGAGGAGCTCCACTGGGAAAGGGCGAGGCGGCCGGCCAGCAAGCAGCGAGGAGACCGAGGATAACGACAGACAACTGCGGCTTCTCCATCTCTCTCTCTCTCTCTCTCTCTCTGTGTCCCTATATGTGTGTGTGCTGTCAAACAGCGGCGCTACTGGGGCTCCAGCTCTCTCTTATAGAGCTCAGTGAGGGCGGGGCATCTCACCCCACCCACAGCAACTCAGCAACTTTCACTTCAACACTGCAGCCCGAACTATATCACCTCCAATACAACCCCAATACAACTATATCACCTCCAATACAACCCCAATGCAACTGCATCACCTCCAATGCAACCCCAATACAACTACATCACCCCCAATACAACTACATCACCTCCGATACAACTGCATCACCTCCGATACAACTACATCACCTCCAATACAACCCCAATACAACTACATCACCCCCAATACAACTGCATCACCTCCAATACAACCCCAATGCAACTACATCACCTCTAATACAACCCCAATGCAACTGCATCACCTCCAATACAACCGCAATACAACTATATCACCTCCAATACAATTGCATCACCTCCAAAACAACCCCAATACAACTACATCACCTCCAATACAACCTCAATACAACGACATCATCTCTAATGCAAACCCAACGCAACTGCCTCACCTCCAATACAACACCAACACAACTACATCACCTCCAATACAATTCCAAAACAACTGCACCCCCTCCAATACAGCCCCAATACAACTGCATCACCTCCAATACAACACCAATACAACCGCATCACCTCCAATACAGCCCCAATACAACTGCATCACCTCCAATACAACCCCAATACAACCGCATCACCTCCAATACAGCCCCAATACAACTGCATCACCTCCAATACAACCCCAATACAACTGCATCACCTCCAATACAACTCCAATGCAACTGCATCACCTCCAATACAACCCCAATGCAACTGCATCACTTCCAATGCATCCCTAATACAACTACATCACCTCTAATACAACTCCATCAACTACAATAAAAATACACCAACTACATCAACTACATCACCCTCAATACAACTCCATCAACTACAATAAAATACACCAACTGCATCAGCTCTAACACAATTACATCACCTCCCCTACAACTCCAATACAACTACATCACCTACACCAACTCCATCAAATCCGACTACATCACACATCAACTCCAATACAACTACATCAACTCCTTCAACTCCAATACAACTACATCAACTCCAGTACAACTCCATCATGTTCAGTACAACTCCATCATGTCCAATACAACTCCATCAACTCCCATACAACTACATCAACTCCAGCACAACTACATCAACTCCAGCACAACTTCATCAACTCCAAAATAATTACATTAATTCCAATAAAACTACGTCAATTCCAATATCCACCTCCCTTATCCTGACTGAGATGAAAACAATCAATGAAAAGCCACCTCCCTTAAGGTATGCTTGGAACATTTGCATCACCGCATGCTTTATTTTTCATTTGTAATGTGATCCTATCCTCTTTTTGCGAGCATTGGCCCTTTTGAAATGTTTCAAGACCTAAAATAGCCATTACTGGAAATGTAACAAATTGCGCACAGGGTGATTAATATTTAGCTAGGGGTCAAATTTGTCTGCTCTTCTTTGAAATATAGTGTCTTGGTATTGTTTTTAACTTAACCCGAGACACTTTCTGCAATCTTATCCAGAAAATAACAGCGAAGCATACCCTGAGCTATCTGATCAAAACTTAACCAATATTAAAATGACTCACTAAAATTAATATAACTTAATAGAGTTGGAAGGGGGTGTGGGTGCAGAAAATTGCTTTTAACTCAACAATGGAAAGGGAATCTTAGCTGCCAGCCAGATTTCCAATGCACACAATCTTTCTTTGGTGTGCAAGAGACTGACAATCCACTTGGAAACTCACCTCCCACTGTTGGCAATGACCAGTTTTAGTCCCAGCTCTGTATGTGGGAAATCAGTGTCAACCTAAGGCCTGGCAAGTGCTCCGTTTTAACTGAGGGTAAGGGTCCACTCCATGGCCTTAATATCAACCAATTTGGAAAGGGCTAAGGAAGGGCTGATAAAGAGATTAGGAATGAGGGGACTGAGAGAGGACTTTGGTCAGAGATACAAGGCAGTGGCTGACAAAGATAAACTGCGAAATGAGAGAAGAAGAGGGCTGACTGAGCGAGAGAAGGTCATCAAAGTGAGAGGAAGGAGGCTGAGAAAGGGCAATGAGAGAAAGAAAGGGTGATTAGGGAGAGATCGGGCCTGAGAGGGCAATGAGAGGAGGTTGGGCTGAGAGAAAGGCAGCAATGTGAAAGAATAAGGATAGCAATCAGGGGGTAAGTATGGTCAGAGAGGTGTAAAGTGCAATAAGACAGTGGCGGGGGAAGAGCTGAGAGTGAGAGGGGATCAGAATCTAAAGGAGCTGAGAGTGAG